ATTAAGTCACCTCACTGTATCAGTGTAGACCAGTCCTGATGAGAATTCATGATGGAATAGTCTTTGAGGGATGCAAAGAATAGACATTGATGGCCTAGACAGAACTAGACAGAAGCAGGAAGTGAAAGTTAATCACCCACCTCACAGGTGAACATCCTCATAATGGGCAAAAAAATTAAAGAGCGAGGACACTCCCCACCATTGACTAATTTGGTTGCTTGAAATCCTCACCTATCCTCTGCATATGTATGCCACAGTTTCGGGAGAAAGCTATAATAGTGTATAAATCATTTCAGGTCAACCAAAGCTGCATCGCTTTTAACTATACATTATTATTTCAGAAGAAATTCACCCGTTTCCAGAATCATTTGCCTCTGGTTCATTGTACCTCATGTTCACAATCTAAAGAATCGATTTCAAGGCCCTTTCTATATCTTAGAACTAAAGGGCTAAGGGAGGACACACTCAGAACTCCTAGACGGGGTGATCTTAGCTTCTATAGACAACATTACTGAATTGATAAGGTGTCCCCATATTTTTTGATTCTCACAATAAAGTAGATACTTTACTCCCAAGCTTCCATGTAATTCCATGCACTGTAAATACATTTTTAATGACCGTATGTTTTTGCAACTATCATTTTATTTTCCACATTCAGAATGGAAAATTAACATATATCCTTCAGAGCGCAGGAATTGTATGAAACAACAGAAAAAAACCCACCCACTTCTGGTATGCGTAGTACGATGAGGGCCTAAAACATAAGACCACGCAGCACAAGCCTGATTTTAGGCCTGAGGCCTAATTAACAATGGGCAAAACATGGCTAATATAGAGCAGAGCTAAGCTGTGAGCAAGAGGCAGGCCCCAGGCTGAACTGTGCTGAGAGCACAAAACACTAATTGGTGTTAGGTACCTACTGCAGAACAATAATTGGTGCTGGTCATAAGTAGAAAGCACATGGTATCACTAGCTCATTAAAAAAGACCTTGGTACCCACTCCCCACTGATACAGACTCAAGTTCAGGAAAGGTTCTAAAATGACAGCATGATGAATAGAGATGATCTAATCAAACCACGAGGTACAGGGTGATGGGTGGCATCTAAGGAGCATCAGAGGGTGGTAACCTGACAAGATTAGAGGGTGGCAACCCCATCCCTCAGCAATGAGAATGTTGTGTCGGGGTGGGGGGAATGACCTAGGGGCAGTGGGACCTCCCACTGGTTGAGTCATTCCATTGTGGCAAGCACTGAGCATAGTGGTTCAGTACAGTCTACTGACAACTATGACTGTACTTTGCTCTACAATAAACCCGGCTTATCACTTCCATCCTTATCTGATTTGTGTTCTTTGGCTCTCTTGGTTTCTGCTGTGGAGACTAAGTGCACAAGTCAACACAGCCCACATCACTTGGAACATACAAAGTAGCCTTCTGTTTATACTCGTAAACGAAGCCAAAGACCTGTGAGGACACCTCGGTAATAAACTCTGACCGGCCCTCCCTGAAGAACTACAGTCTGTACAACCTGAAATTGCCTCTTCTCGTTCCAACTACTTGGAAGCAGCATATTTCAAAGCATTTTCTAATTCAGTGCCCATATAGACAAATATAAAACAATGGATCTTAAATTCTTTCAGACCACAAGTGGAGAAGGCTGGTACTCCAAAGTTCCCCTTCCTCCTTTTCTTACTGCTCATGGCATCAACACCATCTGAAGCAGAGGTTGTGAACCTTTTCGAACCAAAAGCCAAACTACTTCAAAATTCAGAACAAGAGGTCAACAAAGAGCAGTATAAGAATACCCATGTGCATGACTGAAAATATACAACTTAACATTATCGATAATTGTCATAATGATTACTAATGGCATAACTGAAACATTGTACACATTGACTTTATTTAAGGGTACTTCTGCTGCTGCATCTTTTTGCACTTTTCTTTGAAGTCTACATCATACTGGTCAAATTCAAAGCCATGCATGCATTCAGGCTGTCTTCTGTCAATCTTATGGCAGGTAGCTGCAGAAGTCCAGGTTGGAGTGTTTGAAGAGTTCAGGGCAGGAGATTGGGTGTATGATGGACTCATGGCACAAGGTTGGCATGTGTGAAGGTACAGAAGTCTTATGGCAGGTGGCTGGGGATGAGGGAGGTCAGCGGTCCTGGGCAGGGGGTTCAGGTGTATGATTGACTCAGGGTTGGTGTGTGCAGGAGGGCGAGAGTGTTATGATGCTGCAGTCAAATGGAGGTGAGCCCCAATTGGGCGATTGTTGGACAGGCTTTATTTAAATAAAATGTCCAACACAAAATGTTTCAATCTTGTCTTGATCTATGGCAGGAGCGGGGAATCTTTTTTCGGGTTGGGGGCTACTGACCCCTAAAAAGTCAGTCGGGGACCACACAAGTGAGAAGCAAAAACAACCCTTCCAAAAAAAAACCCCAGTCCTCACTGATGTGCCCACCAACTGAAACACCTCACTCCCCTAGTGCTCCAGACGCATAGTGGGGGGTGGGGCAGGGAGGACTGAGATTCAAGGTCTCGGGCCAGATTTACTCTTCTGGAGTCCTGGGGTTAGTGGATAATGTGGGCCCACGCTATTCTCTGGGGTAGGGTCAAAAATGAGGGGATAAAAGTGTGGGACAGGGCTGCCAGTGAATGGGATGGGGTTGGAGTGCAGGATCTGGGCAGGAGAGGGATGCAGGAGGGGGTGAAGGTGCAAAGTCTAGCCAGGGTGCAGGCTGCCAGGGCAGGGGACATTGGGGGGGGGGAATTTGGGACAGGTAGAGGTAGGGAGGATTTGGAAGGGCATTTGGGACTCCAAGGGGCAGGAAGCAGGAGGTATCTGGTCAGCAGGCTGCAGGCAGGGTGGGATTTTGGACAGGGGTGTCTGGCCAGGGTAGTAGAGACATGGGGAACTTTGGCTAAGGGGTGTGGATGGGGGCAGACTGTCTGGCCATAGGATGAGTGAGGAGGTGAAAGGGTCTGGACATGAGTGGGTGGGGGGCACTTATTTTTTTTTGCACCACATGGCAGGCACCGTATAACTCTCCTCCCACTGCTCCCCTCCCCCAGAAGCCTCCTGCAAAGTGTTTCCTGGAGGACGAAAACGGGCAGTGCAAATGGAGCCACTTTTGGCTCCGTCTTTCCTGCATGCAGAGGGAAGGAAACCACTCTCGCACTGAGACATTGTTTCCCCTGCTTGTTACCCATATGCTTTGTCTGGTGGGGAGCTTTGGGGCTTCCCGCCCCTGTTCCCCCTCACAAGATATCCCCAACCCACTCCTCCAGGAAGCTGTTGCTTACGCTCCAGTCTGGGATGGGGCAGGCTAGTAAGGAGGCAACTGCAACGCCAGCTCCCTGTTGTGGGGGGAGCAAGAGAGTGGCTGACCTGGAGGCTCCCTAGGATGCCGACCCCAGATCTGAAGAGGATGGAGAGGCACATTGGGAAGGATTCTGGCTGAAAGGCACCAGGCTGTGAGGCTGGAGAAGCAGGTGGGGAGAGAAATCTTTGCTTTGACTTCATTAGGCTTTTAAGTGAAGTGTTACTGACATTTTGACTTTTAATTCTTTGTAACCAATTCTGATCTTTATGTCACATTATTGGTCATCACTGAAAATCTTTCTTTCTGCAGTCAATCAATGGGTTGAATTATTTAAACAACGCCACTGTGTTTCACTATCAAAATATTTAGGAACCTCTACTTGAGTACAGGATTTTCACCTGTCATTTTCTGTCAATAACATGACAGACTTTACACAAGCTGGTGCTGTCCAGGAGAGTGCTGGACAATACAAGAACTGTGACATAGTGGGGATTTTGTCTACTCTTGTAGCCACTGTGTTCACTCTGGTTTTGCATTCACCGTTTGCTTTGTTGTACTGTATGTGATGTTTACTGTCCTGTGCTTCTCTGCAGTGACTCAGTGCTGCAGTGCCCAGGGAAACTGAGACAAACACACACAATTTGCATGAAATACCCTTTGGTATTTCTGAGCTGCACAACAAAGTTAGGCGTCCACAAACAACAAAACACATTTTCAATTTTTGTTCAGACTTACTTAGCACCCTTCTTGTACTCAATAACTTTGACACAAATAGCACCATTTAATAACACAGGAGGAAAGACTGGGCCAAATTAATCCTCAGGGCATGAGTTACCCCAGTGGTGGGTTTGATTCCCTGAGCTCATTAATGAGGTATTGGGTCTCTCTGAGGCACAGGTACTTCAGAAACAATGTTCCGTAGATCACAGATCTCAGTATAAAACTTCTTGAATGCTCCCAGCTGGCAATTCTGTTGATGGGTCAAATACCACCACGTCTGTCTCTTCTCAACAGGTACGTGCTGTTTTCCTGCATCACAGCCACACACCTGTAGAGACACCAGGATGATCAGCAGGCATTGAATTGAAGTTCCCTAGCGCTAAATACCTGAGCTCAGATCCAACCTCTCAAACTAAAGGAAAACCTCTGAGGCAATTAAAAACTCACTGAAGGAAGCAGTTTCTCTGGGCTTTCCTATAGACTAAAGAACGTGCCAATTTTAAGTGCCAAAAATTGTCAGGAGCACAACACACAAGCTGCACCCCAAACCAAGATGCCAAGCCACAGAGATCCCTTTGCCTAAAGAGAGCAGAGAGATTGACACACATTAATCTTACCCCTTCTTGAGCTAAGCAATAATCTCGTCCAACTCAGATGGTTTCACCCTGATTCTCCTACAGCAGAGGCACAACTCACTGATTGCTGCTCAGATTAGTGAACAGGAGTGTTCATGTGTGTGGTATGGTTAACTGTGTGTCCTAGTATATGTACAGTGTGCGCATTGTATGGAACAACTGGAATGACCAGCTGTGAACATCTGGCTCTATGGACAAGCCCTTCTTTCAGGTCATACTGGTACCCCTATTTCATCACTTACTTCAGTACAGAGGAGGGAAAGGTTTACCGAGCCATCCACCTGCCCACATCCTTATAGCTGCTTGATCTCGGCTCACAGGAGATGGGAGAAGGAAATCACTCAGAGGTGACTGAGTTCATTCTTTCAGGACTGACAGATCGTCTGGAGCTGCAGGTCCCTCTGTTTGTGTTGTTCCTGCTTATTTATGTTGTCACTCTAGTCGGGAACGGGGGGATGATCTTGTTAATTATGACTGAATCCCGACTCCACACCCCCATGTATTTTTTCCTCAGGAATTTGTCTTTCTCTGATCTCTGGTATTCCTCGACAATTGGCCCCAAGATGCTGCAGAATTTCTTAGTGAAGACAAAAAGCATTTCTCGCACTGCCTGTGCAGTGCAAATGTATTTATGTTTCTTTTTTCAAGATGTTGAGTGTCTCTTGCTGGCAGTGATGGCCTATGACCGTTATGTGGCCATCTGTAACCCACTGATCTATACAGTCACCATGTCCAGGCAACTTTGTAACCAGCTAGTGGCTGGGGTGTGTGCTGTGGGGTTGGTGGACGCAATGGTACACACATGTCTGACATTTCGGCTGTCGTTCTGTCACTCAAATATCATCAGTCATTTTTTCTGTGATATCCCTCCACTACTGGCGCTCTCCTGCTCTGACATATGCATCAATGAGATTGTGATGTTTTCCTTTGCATGCTTCATTATGGTGAGCAGTGTTGTGACCGTCCTTCTGTCTTATTTCTATATAATTTCCACCATCCTGAGGATCCGCTCTGCCAAAGGTCGGCAGAAAGCCTTCTCCACCTGCACTTCCCACTTGTGCGCCGTGGCCATGTTTCATGGCACTCTTCTCTTTATGTATTTACGTCCAACCTCCAGCTATTCCATTGACACTGACAAAATAGCTTCAGTGTTCTACACACTGGTGATCCCCATGTTGAACCCCCTCATCTACAGCCTGAGGAACACGGAAGTGAAGGGCGCCCTGAGGAAAGCCATAAAGAAACTCCTAAGGATTTCTTGAATCTTTTAAACTCAGTCCAAAGATTTCTTAGTACTGGGGTTGGTTTTACGATGTAGGTGCAAGAGGGAAGTGTGCGATTTTTAGAAATGAACCAAAAGTAGTTTTCAATCCCTCCTTATAGGTCTGCGGTTCTTTATGTGCTCTTTGGGTTGGTTGGCATTTTGTTTGTGTCCATGCACAAGGAGAAGAAAGGTGTTTTCCATCGCAATGAGCTTTATTGGGAGTTAAGGGCACAGCAAAACAAGTAAGAGCAAGGGTAACATTCCCAAGAGAGAGCACGATGTGGATGCCTACTCTGTGAGGGTATGTCTACACTACCCCCCTACTTCGAACTAGGAGGGTAATGTAGGCATATCGCACTTGCAAATGAAGCCCGGGATTTGAATTTCACGGGCTTCATTTGCATAAGCGGGGAGTCGCCATTTTTAAAGCCCCGCTGGTTCGAACCCCGTGCAGCGCGGCTACACGGGGCTCGAACTAGGTAATTCGAACTAGGATTCCTATTCCGAACTACCGGTACACCTCGTTCTACCTAGTTCGAGCCCCGTGTAGCCGCGCTGCACGGGGTTCGAACCAGCGGGGTTTTAAAAATGGTGGCTCCCCGCTTATGCAAATGAAGCCTGGGAAATTCAAATCCCGGGCTTCATTTGCAAGTGCGGTATGCCTACATTACCCTGCTAGTTCGAACTAGCGGGGTAGTGTAGACATACCCGGACAGTCTGCACTGAACCAAATAGATAATCGCATGGAAGCGGTGCGTATTCTCAATAATATCAGTTAAAAAGAAAATTCAGTCATACAAACACCAGATAATTATGCCACATTAGGAGGTTCGCTATGAGTTCTTGATCTCTCCTAGATTCACAGGTACCAAGCACTATCTATACCTCCCCCAACACGTGTTCTTCTCACCTGCTGTTACAAATCTCTCATGATGGAGATTCCACAACATCCTTCAGCTATTTATTCCAGTGCTTAGCTATCGTGTGAATGTTGAATTTTTTTCTAAAGCCGACTTAACCTCTGATGACAGGAGAAGAAGCAATGGGCTTAAAAGTAGTAAGGAAGGTTAAGGAAATTAATGTTTTTTCCCTCTTCTTTTTTTTATCTATTCTCATATGCCCTCTCAGCCATCTCGTCTCCAGACTAAAAGACCTCAGTACTTTCAGTCTTTTCTCATAGGTCATGGTTCATAGACCATTAATCATTTTTGTTACCCTTTGTTGAACTTTTTCAATTTTTTCCACAGCTTTCCCAGAACTGCACAAAATACTGCAGTTCAGTCATATTCATCATGGAGTAGAGTGAAAGCATAGGTTTTTGTACCTTGCTTACAGCACTCCTGCTAATACATCCCAGAATAATGTGAGGTTTTGCATCATTTTCTTACTGTTAACTCCTAAACTTTGGCCACTATGACCACTAGATCCCTTTTTTCAGTACTCTTTCCTGGACACTAATTTTCCATTTTGTGTGTATGAGAGTGATTGTTCCTTCCAAAGAGAGTACTTTGCTTTGGTCCTTATTAAACTTCAACCTATTTACCTAGAGTCATTTTGACACTTTGCAAGACCATTTTGAATTCTCATCTCCTCTTCAAGACACTGGCAATTTCTCCCAACTGGGTGTCATCTACAACCTTTATCAGAGGACTCGCTATGCCAGTATCTTAAGCACTGATGATGATATTAAACAGAACAAGACTCAGAACAGATGCCTCACTGTGCGACATATCTAGACAGTGCCTTTTAGTCTGTCCTGGATCTTTTTCAGCCACCGTCAATGCTAATGCTGCAAGTCTATCTACGTTACATGACTTCATGTAGATACAACTTAGTTTGACTTACAAGAGAGTCTAACCTATGTTGTGTTAATGGAAGGGTTCCATAACAGAACTAGTACAAATTCAATCACCTGACAGCATCAGCATTGACCAGCCTCGATAAGAATCTGTGATGGAACACAGACTTCGAGGGGAAGTACAGCCATTGATGGACGAGTGCTCTCCCATTCACCAAGCCCGTCTTCAACATGCTGGCTAAATAAATATTGCTTAATTTATCATAGTAGTGTCGATTTCATCAGTGGTGTAGCTCTGTCCCCAGCCTTCCCTGTTAGAACTCTTGCATTGAGTATAAAACATGGAAAGAATCACAACGTAAAAAAAAAAAAGATTCTGTAGACTGGTTACTAGGGGAACCCATATATAGAGTGAGACAATCAACTTTATGTCTTTATTCCAATGGCTGTTTAATTAGGTAGAAGAGCTTTGGAAGGAGAGATTGAGAATGTCTCAGAGCAGAATAGCAGATTGCTCCGTGACTTAGAAAACAGGAAACCCAATCACACATCTTTGAAGCAGGAAGTGAATCTTGATCACCCACCTCAGAAGTAAACCTCCTCATATTGGGCAACAAAAATTAAAGTGAGACGACACTCCCACCACCAAGAACTACATTTGGCTGCTTTAAATATTCCCCTCTCTTCTGCATACACACACTGTGGTTTCGGGACAAAGCTATTATAGGACTTGTAATACGTGTATGAATCATTTCAGGTCAACTAAAATTGCATCGCTTTTAACTATACATTATTATTGCAGAAGAAATTCACCACATTTTAGGGTCTTCTGCATCATGGTCATTGTACCTCATGTTCACAATTAAAATAATTGATTTCAAAGCCCTTTCTATATCTTAGATCTAAAGGGCTAAGGCAGTAGACACTCAGAACTCCCAGTCTGGATGATCTTAGCTTCTATAGACAACATTATTGAATTGATAAGGTGCTCCCATATGCTAAAGCTCATAGTAAAGGTAGATGCTTATTTCACTCCTGAGTTTCCATATAATCCATTTACTATGCATAAAAATTTTGGAAATGGCCATGCCTTTGCAACTCTAATTAATAAATGTGGAAAATTAAGAAAATAAAGTACTATATATCTTTTAGAATGCAGGGTTTGAAATTAAAAAAATCTTAGGGTTTGTACAATTGGCCATTGCCTCTCCTCATTTCAACTGTTCAGAAGCAGCAGTGGTTTCAAAAGCAGTTTCTAGTCCATGGTACACCTGGACTGATATAAAAATGTGGATCTTAAATTCTATCTGCCTCCCTTTGCCCATCTTTTACTGGTAATAACCAGACTTGCCTGCCTTATAAAAGAGTTCATAAATATTTGTAGCTCCTTATATGGCCCCCTTCAATGCAGTGCCTCTGAGCAACTCAAGATCTTTATTGTATTTATTGCCACTTATTCCATGTTAGGGCAGAGCAGTGTGATTTCCATTTTTCAGAAGAGCTGAGGCTCAGAGAAAGCAAACGTGCAAACTTTAAGAAGCAGAAGAGGAACAGTGGTGTAAAATCTAAAAGTAGGAAAGTGGTGAAACCACCCTTCATTTTATACAGTCATTCAACATTCTTCAGATTCATCATGTAGGTCTCACAAATGAGCTGATGACATCACTCAGGGTACGTCTACACTACATGCCTTTGTTTATTCAGCAAAGGTAAATGAAGCTGCGATTTAAATGATCGTGGCTTCATTTACATTTACATGGCTGCCGCGCTGAGACGACAAACAGCTGATCAGCTGTTTGTCAGCTCGCACGCTAGTCTGGACGTTCCCCCTGTTGACATCAAAGCCCTTTGTCGGCAGCCCCGGTAAACCTCATTCCATGAGGAATAACGGGGCTGCCGACAAAGGGCTTTGATGTCGACAGGGGGAACGTCCAGACTAGCGCGCAAGCCGACAAACAGCTGATCAGCTGGTTGAGGCAAATGAAGCCACGATTTAAATGATCACGGCTTCATTTCCATTTACATGGCTGCCGTGCTGATCAGCTGTTTGTCGGCTCGGCGCGGCAGCCATGTAAATGTAAATGAAGCCGCGATCATTTAAATCGCGGCTTCATTTACCTTTGCCTACAACCCTAATCTACATGCCTCTGCCGACAGGCATGTAGTCTAGACACAGCCTCAGAGACTCCAGTCCTGAATTTTTAACTTTTCAGTGGAACAGAGAGGTTTCCCTATCTGAAGACACACTGAAAGGCTCGGCGCGGCAGCCATGTAAATGTAAATGAAGCCGCGATCATTTAAATCGCGGCTTCATTTACCTTTGCCTACAACCCTAATCTACATGCCTCTGCCGACAGGCATGTAGTCTAGACACAGCCTCAGAGACTCCAGTCCTGAATTTTTAACTTTTCAGTGGAACAGAGAGGTTTCCCTATCTGAAGACACACTGAAAATTATGTACACTGCCGTCAGCGTATCCCATATTCTACTGGCACCTCAACCATGAGGCCTCTCTCCCCATAACAGACACGTTCACCTTAAATCCATTTGCTGCTTCTTAAAATTAAAGCCTGCAACCACCAGCTACCAGGATAGTCAGGAAATCATTTACACATGGTAACCATCTGTGCACGTTACAAGCAATACTTTAAAAAGACACAAAAAGAAACACTAAGCCACAAAGAGCTCACAAAGGGAAATGAAGCCCCTCTACAGGCTACAGCCTCCAGAATACAAGGCAAAAACACTTCAGCCATTGAACTATATGCCCTGCAGATCCATCATGTGCTAATGCTTCACCTTAACCCCAGGGCATATGGAGGCTCAGGTCCAGCAGCCAGCCAGGAGCAGGTGCTCACTCCCCTGGGCCTGTCCGCACTGAGCTATCCATGGTCCTGCAATTTTCTTTAATTAGCCAAGTGTTCAGTGGTGCTGAGCTGATTGGCACCAGCCAGGGATCTGAGCCATCGGTGCTAATAAAGTTCTGTCATGTAAAACCACCCGGGTTAGTAGGTTGGATTCATGTCACTGAGGCAGATTTTCCCTGGATCTGTCATTTCTAGTGTGACCTTCTGAGACCATGTAAAGGCTCCGTCCTCACTCTGACATGATAAATGCAGAAGTGGGGGCCTGCAAAAGAACCCCAAAACCTTATCTCTCCAGGCTTTGGTATAAAACTTTCCCCCAAAATCTTAAAAACCTAGATTTTGGGGGCAAAATCTGATGCCGCCACCCATGTATGGATGAGAAAATCAGGGGAGAGATCACTTGGGAAATTTCACCCCTTATCGTAAAAACCAGGACACAAAATTTAACCAATGCCAGGTTAATAAAAAGAAAAGAGAAAGAACTTTTATTATGCACACAATAGTCCTGTTGCAAGCTTAATGACTAGATGAAAAAGTCACAAAGTAATATACTCATGGGGGGGGGGAACCCCACCATGGGCCTATTTACAGAGGAGAGGAAAACCCATTTTTAAATGTACAGACATCAGATCCCATTTCTCAAACCATAAAACAATCAAAACTAAATGTTACCCTACTTACAGATAGTAAAGAAAGAGTCTTTTCTTGGAGGCAAACATAGTGTTTCTCCCCCTCAGTAGCTGGAGAAAACTGCCCAGGCCAAAGGAGGGAAAACTCCCAAAATTCCTTTGTCCCAGTTTGAAATTCCTACCTGCACTCCTATTGGCTGAATCTATGTAGTTAGGTAAGGGACATAGTTAGACCTTGAAGTCAAGACTGGCTGCACTTCTAAATGAGAGAATCCAGCTGTAACTGGTCCATGAGGTTCCATGCCATGTGGTCTGTCATGATCATTAGGGTTAGGCAGCAGCCTGGGGACTAAAGGGTTAAGTGGTATTAAATTCACTATGTCTCTTGGCCTGTTCTCCAGCTTGTGGTTGAAAACGTGCTCAGGTTCACACCATTTGAGGATTGGGCTCTTTGGCTTCAATGGAGCTGTCCTGATTTACACCAGTTTGGGATCTGGCCAATGACTCCAAATGGAGAGCCATCCATGTACACAGACAGGGGACCTGATCTGATGGGAAGTGCCTGTGTTATGCCAAGTCTTGGGACTGGTAGGAAGAGACTTGCTATTGCAAACCACAGGACTTGGTGGCGTTAGAACCAGCTGATGAAATCCCTGGTTATGAAAGATCCTGTACTGGAGAGATCCCACCATTGAGGGACAGAGAAATTGAATTGTTCTCTCTTTCATGGAATTATCTTTCCTATGCAAATTATGAGCTGTCAAAGGAAATACCCAACTTTGTCTCATCTTACAAGGCAGATCAGCAAAAGAGACCATCTTGCCTCATAGGGATGGAATCCATTATAGGACCCTGGCCCATGGCAGAGAATGTTGGAAAGTGGTATCTGAGGGATCCCAGTGGCATTTCTGCTCAAAATATTATGGCTTTGGCCTAGAGCACTTGGCCTCTGCACAACATAAAAAAACCCTCCCTTTATTGATCAGGTTGACTCATTGAATAAAACAGGAGGCACGAGTGGGACAAATTAATCACCAGGGCCTGAGTTATTCGGAATGGGTCCCTGGTTCCCTGAGCACATTAATTAGGTGTGATGACCTTCTAAGAGTTGGTATTCCCATTTGCTTCAGCAAGCTTGTCCCACAGGTCACAGATCTCAGTATAAAACTTCCCATCCACTCCAGAGAGGCTGTTTCTTTCTCTTTTTAATTATGCACCCAGACAGACGCCACTGTGATCAGTACATAGGGAGCTCAAAAACGTCAGCATTAAAAATCTCAGCCTGAGCGCCTACCAAATGATCTAAAGGATAAAAAGCCTTTTTGGTGGGATAAAGGGACAGTTATATCATCACCACTGACGCCAGTTCTATCCTTGGGTTATCCTATCGACTCGAGAAAATGCCATTTTCAGATGCCGAGACTCACAATTAGCACCATGAGTGTCCTTTTTCCCCATCTGAGACGCCGAGCCACAGAGCTCCCCTTGCCCAAGGAGACTATAAAGACTGATATTCATTTCTTCTCACCCTTTCTTCAGCTAAGGAATAATTTCAGCATGCTGAGCCAGTTTTCAAATTGATTCTCCCACAGCAGAAGCACACATCACTGTTTGCTGCTTACATTAATGAACAGGAGAGTCTGTGTGTGGATAGCATGATTGACCTGTGTGTCCTTGTATGTGTACAGTGTGTGCATTGTATGGAACACCCGGCCTGACCAGCTGTGAATATCTGGTTCTGACGACTAAGACTTCCTCTGTGCTCATACTGAGACCCATTATGAACCTGGACTCCTTTTTCTTCACTTATTTAAATCACATGGAGGGGATAGGTTGTGTTAGCCATCTCCTGCCCAGATCACTGTAGCTGCCTGATCTCTGCACAGAGGAGATGGAAGAGGGAAATCACTCGGAGGTGACTGAGTTCATTCTCACAGGACTGACAGATCGTCCGGACCTGCAGCTCCCCCAGTTTTTTTTGTTTCTACTCATTTTTGTTCTCACCATGGTGGGAAATGGTGGGATGGTCTTATTAATCATGAGTGACTCCCGACTCCACACCCCCATGTACTTTTTCGTCCAGAGTTTGTCTTTCTGTGATTTCTGCTATTCCTTTGTCATTTCCCCGAGGATGCTGCTAAGTTTCTTAGCCAAGATGAAAAGCATTTCTTACACTGCCTGTGCTTTGCAAATGTTTTTCGATATGACTCTTCAGGAAACTGAGAGCCTCTTGCTGGCTGTGATGGCGTATGACCGTTATGTGGCCATCTGTAACCCACTGCTTTATACGGTCATCATGACCAGGCAGCGTTGTAACCTGCTGATGGCAGCCTGCTATGCTGTGGCATCGGTAGATTCAGTCATTAACACATATTTTGTATTCCGGCTGACATTCTGCCACTCCAACATCATCAACCATTTCTACTGTGACATGGTCCCCCTGATGGCGCTCTCCTGCTCTGACACCAGCAGCGCTGAGATTGTGATGTTTGCGTCCACTTGCTACATTATAGTGACCAGTGTTGTGACCATCCTCCTCTCCTACATCTTTATCATCTCCACCATCCTGAAGATCCGCTCTACTGAGGGCCGGCACAAAGCCTTCTCCACCTGCACTTCTCACTTGACTGCAGTGGCCATGTTCCATGGCACCCTCCTTTCCATTTATTTCCGACCCACCTCCAGCAATTCCACGGGCACCGACAAAATAGCCTCAGTGTTCTACACGCTGGTGATCCCCATGTTGAACCCCCTCATCTACAGCCTGAGGAACAGGGAGGTGAAGGGGGCTCTGAGGAAAGCCATGAACAAACTCCTCAGCAATTCTTGAATCTTTTTAACACTGTCTTCCCTTCTGGTGGGGTTGGGTTTGTAATGCAGTTGCAAGTGTGTAGTGTGTCATTTCTGATGTTGAATCAAAGGCATTTTGCACACCCTCCTGCAACAGTTTAGCTCTTCCTGTGCTCTGTTCAGGAGTTATAGAGATTGTTTGTGTCCATGCACAACAGGGAGAAAGGGGATTAGCATCACAATGGCCTGTATTGTAAGTTAAGGGAGAGCAAAAGAAGTAAGAGCCAGGGTAACATTTCCAAGAGACAGCACGGTGTAGACACACTTATTGCAAAGACACTATTAAATGAACCCACTTCTGTCAGTCTTCCCTAATGCTGAAAATCTGAAAAATGGCTTCTGGAGCCACTGATTTCAAGGCCCTTTCTATATCTTGGAACATAGGACTAAGGGATTGGACCCTCAGAACTCCTAGACTGGGTGATCTGAGCTTCTGTAGGCAACATTAATGAATTGATAAGGTGCTCCCATATTTGTTGATGCTCACAGTAAAGGTAGATCAATACTTCACTCCTGAGCTTCCATGTAATTCCATGCATTTTAAATATAACATTTTAAAGCTGACTATATGTTATTGCAACTATAGTTTTATTTTCCACATTCCTTGATGAAAAATTAACCTATTCCTTTTAGAATGCAGGAATTGTCTGAAACAACAACAACAACAACAACAAAATACTTCTGGTATGTCCTACCTGTAATTGCCTCTTCTTCGAACTACTTGGAAACAGCATTTTTCAAAGCATTTACTAATTCAGGGCACATACGGACAACAACAATTGAATATCCATTTTTTCATTCCTGCCAATGAGTGGAGAAGGCTAGTACTCCAAAGCTCCTCCTCTTCCTTTTTTCCCTGCTCATGGCATCATCACCCTGAGAAGGAAACAGAGGAGCACAGGAAGAGAGGAGGATTCTGACAAAAAGGCACTAGCCTATACAGCTGGAAAATCAGGTGGAGAGACAAATGTTTGCTTTGAATTCATTTAGGCTCTTAAGTGAGGTGTTACTGACATTTTACCTTTTATTTTTTGTAAAAAATTCGGATCTTTATGTCTCATTATTGGTAATCACTGAAAATATTTCTTTCTGTAGTCAATAAATGTGTTGAATTGTTTTACTGAAGCCACTGGCTACGTCTAGACTGGCATGATTTTCCACAAATGCTTTTAATGGAAAAGTTTTCCGTTAAAAGCATTTGCGGAAATGAGTGTCTAGATTGGCACGGACACTTCCGCAAAAGCACTTTTTGCGGAAAAGCATCCGTGCCAATCTAGACGCCCTTTTGCGCAAAAAAGCCCCGATCGCCATTTTCGTGATCGGAGCTTTTTTGCGCAAAACAAAACTGAGCCCTTTTGCACAAAAGCTTTTGCACAAAAGGACTTTTGCCCAAATGGGAGCAGCATAGTATTTCCGCAAGAAGCACTGATTTCTTACGTGAGATCGTCAGTGTTCTTGCGGAAATTCAAGCGGCCAGTGTAGACAGCTGGCAAGTTTTTCCAAACTTGCCAGTCTAGACACAGCCAGAGTATTTTGGTACCAGAAAATTGAGGAACCTCTACCTGGGAGCAGGATTTGCACCTGTCATTTTCTGTCAATAAATAGATAGATGTTACAAGCACTAGTATTGTCCAGGAGGGTGCTGGGCAGTATCGGATGCACATTCTATGGGGCATAGCTAGTCCTGTGACCTACAGGTAGGTGCTTTCTGTTGTTCTATTGAAAGGCAGCATGTGATACCCCTTTACCTGAATCTCCTAGAGGTAGAGCCCTGAACCTTAGCTGTGAGTTATTTTCATAGCCCAGGTGTCCTCCTCCAAAGTGCTAGAAGATATGTTAGGAGGGAAGAAAGCCATTTCTTCCTCTGTCTGTGTGACAGAGCAGCCTTCAACTTTCTGGAGGGAGGTTCCAAAGAAGATGGGGAGAGGCTGTTCTCAGTATTGGAAGATGGCAAAACAAGGGGCAATGGTCTCAACTTACAGTGGAGGAAGTCTAGGTAGGATATTAGGAAAAATTATTTCTCTATGAAGGTGAGAAAGCACTAGGAAGGGGGTGGAATTTCCATCCCTAGAGGTTTTTATGTCCTGGCTTGACAAAGCCCTGGCTGGATTGATTGACCTGGTCCTACTTTGGGCAGAGGGCTGGACTCAATGGCTGTGTCTAGACTACATGCCTCTGTCGGCAGAGGCATGTAGATTAGACACATAGGCAAAGGAAAATGAAGCCGCGATTTAAATGATCGCGGCTTCATTTACATTTACATGGCTGCCGCGCTGAGTCGACAAACAGCTGATCAGCTGTTTGTCCGCTCAGCCTTTGTCGGCAGCCCCGTTATTCCTCGTGGAATGAGGTTTACCGGGGCTGCCGACAAAGGGCTTTGATGTCGACAGGGGGAACGTCCAGACTAGCGCGCGAGCCAACAAACAGCTGATCAGCTGTTTGTCGGCTCAGCGCGGCAGCCATGTAAATGTAAATGAATCAGCGATCATTTAAATCGCGGCTTCATTTGCCTTTGCCAAAAAAACAAATCTACATGCCTCTGCCGACAGAGGCATGTAGTTTAGACGTACCCAATGACACACGAGGCTCTTCCAGCCCTGGGATTCTATGATCCTGTGACTCCACTCTCATTTCTCAGTGCATTTGTGGTGGTATAGTGACTGCTGTTTCTCTGTCCTTTCAGAGGCAGTATAGAAAGATGGAGCGGGGCCTTGGGATATCCAGATCTTTTATTTATAGTCCTGTCCCCCCATTCAGACACATTACCAGTTGATTAACAGGAGACAAAATGTCTATGTGAAAAGATGTTTGTGTCTCCTTTTTCCTCATATTTTCAGCTTCCATTATTTCCCTTCTTCCTCGATGATGCTATTGGCTGCTTCGATATGGTATTCACCACAGCACACATTGCTTGGTTTCAGACACGCCTGTTTGCCAACATCTGTTGATAATGTTAATTAATAATAGCATACTGTCCTCTTCCAACCTCACATACTGGATTGCCACTCATGATTTATCAGGGTGATGCTAATAAACCAATTATGAATTTTCAGATGATGCATTGGAAGGTGCATTTTTAAAAGACTTCAAAAGAAAAAAATAAAACACAAAGACTTCACACAAAGAAATCAAGCCCTGCCACAGGCTACGCCCTCAGAAATGCAATTGCTTCAGGAATAACGTTCCATAGATCGCAGATCTCAGTATAAAACATCCTGACTGTGCCAAACTGGCAGTTTCTGTCAAAGGGGAAACACCACCACATTTGTCTCTTCTCAGCAGGTACTTGCTGTTGTCCTACATCACAGACACACACCCATAGAGAAACCTGGGTGATCGGCAGCTATTGAATTGAAGATCCCCAGCACTAGAAACCTGAGCCCAGATCCAACCCCTCAAACTAAAGGAGAAACCCCAGCATTTGGAAAAACGGGCAATTACAAAGTCACTTAAGGAAGCACTTTCCCTGGGCTTTCCTGTGGACTAAAGAATGTACCATTTTTAGGTGCCAAAAAGAGTCATGAGCACAACACACAAGCAAACTGACATGCCGAGCCATAGAGCTCCTCTTGCCTAGAAAGGGCAGAGAAATTTACACGCATTAATCTCAGCCCTTCTTGAGCTAAGAAATAATCTCATCCCACTCAGATGGTTTCACCCTGATTCTCCTACAGCGGAGGCACAATTTACTGTTTGCTGCTCAGATTAGTGAACAGGAGGGTTCGTGTGTATGGTATGATTAATCTGCATATCCTTGTATTTGCAGAGTGTGCGTATTGTATGGAACAACTGGAATGACCAGCTGTGAACATCTGGCTCTGTGGACAAGCTGTTCTTTCAGGTCATACGGGTACCCATATTTCATCACTTACTTTGGTACAGAGGAGGGAAAGGTTTACAGACCCATCCACCTGCCCACATCAGTGTAGCTGCCTGATCTCCACTCAGAGGACATGGAAGAGGGAAATCACTCGGTGGTGACTCAGTTCATTCTCTCGGGACTGAGAGATCATCAGGAGCTGCAGGTCCCCCTGTTTGTGTTGTTCCTACTGATGTATGTTGTCACTCTCGTGGGGAACGGGGGAATGATCTTGTTAATTATGACCGACCCACGACTCCACACCCATGTCTTTTTTCCTCCAGAATGTCTTTCTCTGATCTCTGCTATTCCTTCACAATTGCCCCCAAGAGGCTGCAGAATTTCATAGCGAAGACGAAAAGCATTTCTCGCACTGCCTGTGCAGTGGAAATGTCTTTATGTTTCTTTTTTCAAGAAATTGAGTGTCTCTTGCTGGCTATGATGGCAGATGTCCATTACGTGGCAATCTGTAACCCACTGCTCTATATGTTCACCGTGTCCAGGCAACTTTGTAACCAGCTAGTGGCTGGGGTGTGTGCTGTGGGGTTGGTGGATGCAATGGTACACACGTGTCTGACATTTCAGCTGTCGTTCTGTCACTCAAATATCATCAGGCATTTCTTCCGTGATATCCCCTCACTTCTAGCTCTCTCCTGCTCTGACATATGCATCAATGAGATTGTGATGTTTTCCTTTGCATGCTTCATTATGGTGAGCAGTGTTGTGACCGTCCTCCTGTCTTATATCTATATAATCGCCACCATCCTGAGGATCTGTTGCCGAAGGTTGGCAGAAAGCATTCTCCACCTGCACTTCCCACTTGTGCGCTGTGGCCATGTTTCTTGGCACACTTCTCTTTACGTATTTACGTCCCGCCTCTGGCTATTCCATGGACACTGACAAAATAGCCTCAATGTTCTACATGCTAGTGATCCCCATGTTAAACCTCCTCATCTACAGCTTGAGGAACACAGAAGTGAAGGGCGCCTTAAGGAAAGCCATTAATAACTCCTAAGGATTTCTTGAATCTTTTAAACTCAGTCCAAAGATTTTTTAGATAAGTCGATATTGCAATTGAAGCGGAGATTTAAATATTCTGTGCTTAATTTGCATTAAAATGG